TTAAAAAATCGGTTTTTATTTCTGCTGCGTATTTTCAAATGATCACCATCAATGTTTTTCTTTTTTTTAAACATTTAAAAATACATTAAATTATGTTACTTTTGTGTTTTTTATATAAATTATAAATAATAATATTATGATAGAAGATAAAATTTACATGACCGTTTTATTATTATTATTATTATTATTAACTGTGAAATTGTGCTAGTACATGGTTTTAAGAATACCAAAAAAAAAAATTACCCATCCAGAATCCCAGACCTATTAAATTGATTTTTTTATATAGTTAGGCTCAAGTTAATCTTATATACAGATATGTTTTAAATTTTGAATTTTGGTATGCTTAGTTTTAAATCTTAAACCTAATTAACATTTGTCTTTACTAATACTCATACGAGTAAATGACATAGAGTTATTTGATAGTGAGTTATGTTATTTAATATTTTATACATAGTTAAATAATTTAGAATATTAGTCAATAGATATGGTATAATAAAATAAATTATCCTGTTTTTAAATTTTTTTATACTGAATTCCAACAATTTGTTCATTGATTTATCATGTTTTAATAGCGAATTAATTAAAGAAATACTAAACATGCGATGCTTGATACAGATTTTTAATTGCTATATATATATTTTAATTCATTTATACCTACTTATATACTTTTGTGAAACTTTTTATAAATCTTTCTTTGAATAAAATAAAAAATGAAATTAACGTTTAGGTGTTGACATGTAGTTAAAAAATATAAAAATAGGACTTGTTTAGATTGTATTGGTGAGTTTCGTACAATGTATTTATCATAGTGTATAATAGTATTAACTTAGTTTCGAAAAAACCGTCTCTCTCCCAGAGTTAAAAACATTGAATTTGAAAGTAGGTATTAACTAAAAATTATTCCATTAATATTAACAATAATAGACAGTAATATAAAAATAATAATTCAATTAATTTAACACATAGTATACATTTAAGTATATGTATAACAAATTAAAAGATTAATATAATATACAATACACTGTACTATTATTTAGAAAGTAATACCATTAGGAATAACATAGCATAGTTATTAGTTAATAAAAGGGTAAGAAAAAGAAAATAAGATGATAATAAAACGATTGAATTTTTAAATTGAGACAATTTAACGGGTATCATCAATTCCTCCGTAAATATCGCCTCTGTTAGTCGATATTTTATGAAGCAATATATTATATTTTCTTTTACTCTTTTGCGAATCAGACAGGGAAAAATAAAATATGTAATGGAGTGTTGTTGTTGTGTGATTTATCTTAAGTAAAAAATTAACGACGTTTAAAAGCTATTATTGTTGCAATTACAATCCCAAATTAAAAATTATTATTAGAGATATTTCAAGTGACAAGTAGACACAATGAATACGCATGTAATATCATTAATTTATAACGAATTAATAATTTGTATGTTTCGTCTTGATACGAATAATGTGCAAGATAATAATAAAATAAATACTGCTAAAAAATGTTTAACTAGGTACAGATAAACATAGAAGAAAATAGTTACCGAAAAAAAAATGCAATTTTATGTCAAAGATTGTGTACGGTATCAGTAAGTGCACTCACTCGATTTGCATAATCTGCTATATTATCGAGCTAAGAATTTGTACGTTAAAACCTCAAAGATTTCATTTTGATCATTTACGATATGGCATTAATATAACAGTGGAGAGAGTAGTTTCATCTAGTCTAGTTGAAAAATAAATATTTTGCGGGTCCAACCGCGGTCGTGGTACCTATATAATAATATAATCGAATGCATGTATAATACAATATATGTGTATAAATAATACCTTTATGTATAGACCAAATTTTACTTCATCATAGTTTCTAAACAATCGGATAATCCACTCTTTGCGTATAAATGGCATTCTTAACATGTGAATGATTTTGTTATTAGGATGCCGCTACGACTTTTAAATAATCGGTCTTCTAGTACACAATATAATAATACAATGCTAATAATGTGTTTTCTACGTCAAAAAATCGATTTAGATATAATATGGTGTGTAATACAGTATTATAATATAGCTTTATCTATATAAACACTTACCAAACATGTAGGTGTACATATAATAGTACCTACACATATTATTATTGCTGTACCTGTATACCAAAAGTGTCGGATAGGTACTGAGTTCATCAATGCATAGATTAAAAATAACGTATCATATTTTAAAAATCTACGCGTGTCGCTGTGTATAATAATTATATTAACGATATGCCGAAATTAATTATGCAAATTACCCGTCTAAGTAAGAAAATGTCTCCATACCGATGAGAACATGAAAACGTAGATACTTATAGAAAATATATCATTGTACCTAATTGATCTAAATGTGTGTCAAACGTAGAAAAAATATTATTATATACCTACGCTGTGGACTATATACATAGCTGCAAAAACTTGAGGATATAAACACGCAATCCGTGTTTGGTATTTTTACGATTTTACGAACATAAAAATGAAAATATATAAAAGTAGATCACCAGCTGTATATAAAATCTGAGAAAAATGTATGCTTGTTGTAGTGAATTATAACATCGTGGAAACGAAATAAAATACATAAAAATTAAGTATAAACACGTATTTCTTTTTTTTCCATACACATAATGTACTTATAAATATATGTATAAGTGTATGTATATTCTCGAGTAGATGGTTAATTTCGATAATCTAAAATATTATATTAACGCGTCCGGTTGTACATATACGACAATGTCATCGTTATCGGTTTACATTAATATGTCTTCAGATACACCATGAATATAGTCTTTTTTGTTGATTTCACCTTACAAAGAGCATATTTTACAAGCTTCAAAGTGACAAAAAAATTACAATACTTACAAATATATATTATATATATATATATACGAGTAGTTTATAGTTATATCCCGTGAGATGCAAATTATGCGCTTTGAGTACACATTGCACTGTATATTTGTAAATGTGATTACTGTTAAATAGTATTATAATTAAGCAAAAATGTGTATATTACCATGAGTAATCACGTACATAATATTATTGCTAAATAGGTATGTCAAATTATTTCACTTATTATTTATTTAAATTAAATAGCTTGTTAATATGATGGAATATTTTTTATACATCGTATCAAATTATATATAATTTGTAAATTTGTTATTGTATTGATAATCGGACAGAAATTAAGAGTTAAGTATATTAGAATCTGGTAATTTAACTTAAGATTATACTACCTTAACACTGCAGACTCATCAGAAAATCTAAAAGCTAGCTAAAACTAAAAAATGTTACATGCGAATATTGTATAATACATTAAATTTCTTATAATTCGACAACGTATTTCTGATTCAAAATGTCAATAGTTTAAAACCTCAACATTTGTATCACTTATAGGTACCGGCAAAATTTTTAGAAAACCAGTTTTAAATTTTCTACATTTAAAACATAATACATTTGTGTATCAACACTTAATATACCTTATGGTAAGAATATTTTGAAAAATAAAAAGAATTTTTCAACTTTTGGTATCTAGGTTATTGTTATGATGGGTATTATTCTTCATGTTAGTATAAATCAAATGATCGATTGCAATGCATCATCCTCGGACTTTGACCTAGTCGAGACTAGTGCAGATTTTAAGTACGGCTATAATAACGTGTGTTTTTAATTGAACGAATTCTTGCCACCAATCCTATATAATTTAACCGTACAAAAATAATTAATTTTCTTTAGACTCTCGTTTGTATATATTTGATTAGGCAATCTCGGACAGCATATTTCTTCTTCTCCGCCATTATACAGAACTCGAGGCATCTTATCGATGATTTAAATACAACTGACGAGCTCTAAAATAATTTCTTCTAATGATCGGAATTACTTTTAACCGTTCGGATGACTCCCATCATCATCGATTATAGTAGTGTGTTTGGGAATTATTTCTAATCAGCAGAGCGGTCCGAGTGTCCGACGTAAAGGTACCTATGCGTATTTATATTACATTCACTGTACTGTAATATCCAATAAGTAATATAAAATTATCATTTATAATTTAATGGAATATCGGAATGCGATAGTTTTCACGTGGACGAAGCTGCGTATGTTGATAATAATAATATGGCAACGATTATAATAACCACGGGTGCCGGTCGTGAATAAGGTCACGCGCCGGATATAATATGTAGTACAGCTATGAAAATCTGATTATAATGGCGTATTTATCGCAGGGGTAGCGAACATATGGCACATTGGAATATGCGTAAAGGTGATGCTTTGGCAAAATTTTAACGATGTATAAAAATATTACATATTATTATTTCATTGTTCAATTTTGTTTGTATTTTAATAAAAAAAAAAAAAAAATCGTGATTGAAAAGAAATTACATTAGATTTACCAAATAATAAAATGTTGAAAGTTTAGAACTCATAAATTCTAGACATTTATTTTGTACTTTAGAAATAATTACTTATTTAAAATATACACACTTAATATTAGCGACGACGAACAGTTGAAGAAGTTTATTTTGTACAATGTATTTATGTATCTAATCAAATAAAAAAAAAAAGAGAATACATTAATGAATGAAGGTAATAATACTGTCTTTAAAACTACCTAAAAAACAAGTCACTTAATCTGATGTTAAAAAAGGTCTTAATTTAATAATAACGCCCCCGATTAGCCCAAGAAAAAATTGTTTTTGTGTTTATGGATATATTATTATTGTTACGTAAAATTTTTCAAAACTGTGATCTCCAAACGTTAGTTTGTGACCCAAAATAAATTTGAAAACTCTGGATTCTGAATTATGATATTATATTAGTAACAAAATCATCGCTCTAGGATATACAATATAGCTCGTTTTACTTTTGATGGGAATAAAGATGGGCCGGAAGAAAGGGAATCGCGTGTCCGCGGCGGCAAGTGAAAGACCGGTTGCGTTGCCGCTCACGAAATGGCATAAAAGGGGGTCCGCACCGGCCGATGGGTTCATTATTTACTCGATTCGCGTCCAGTTTTCCGGTAGTCTGCGTCGTCCGTCCGTCTGACACCTACCTGAAACGCATATAACAATATATAGTTGCAATATAATATTAAAATTGTGACATCGGATCGTACGAGTTGTGCCCGATATTGATAAATCGACAAAAATTAAATATTTTTTTCATTCCGCTCTTTGCTGTACTTCGATCTACCGTATTCACACGCAATGTTTGCCGGAAAGTTCGTTGTGGTGTTCGCCCTTGTGGCTGCCGCCATTGTCGCGTTAGCAACCGGTTCGCCAATGTCGTCATCGTCTATGCCCCAGCAACCATCTCCATCGCCACGTGACCAGCAAGACGGCAATAACGATGTAAACCTTCAACCACAACACCACGACATCCACCTGCAGCAACAACACCAACACGCCAAGCCATCGTACATGATACGCGAGGATGAACTGGTGAGGAAGTTGAATGCCAAGTGCGGTGCCCGAGATGTGTCCAGCTGCGTTATGCTGAAGCTGGTCACTTATATGAACAAGTTGATGAAGAAGAACAACCTGGAAATCGGAGACATGATGGAAATCGCTAAGAAGGATGGGCCAGCTGAATATATAGCCTCCACTGATGAGTCAACGGTCCGTGTAGACGGTACGGCCAGGGGATACACTGACGAGTCGGCATTTGGTGAGGTGATGGCCGACAAACTGTGGAGGTACGTTCAGTCCCGAGCACTCAAGATCAAGGTGTTGCCCGAGGCTGACTTTGTTGTATCCGCATCCCCGGAACAAGACGGCTCCCTTAACTTTGGCATGTCGTTCAGGTCCGGAAAAGACTTGACTGAGTCCGGTGAGCGTAATATTTATTTTATTATCGTTGTTGTTGGTTTTTTATGTCACAGCAGTAAAACTATATTGCTATATAACGAAACGTTAAAGAAGAATTTTTTTTGATTTAGCCGTTTATTAGATGTGATAGCGAAGGGGCGTTATTTAGTTTGATGCATGGAAAAAATATTAAAAATAACTATGTACATGTTCTATGTACTAAATATTAATTTTATTTACATAAAAATACGATTAATAGCTTTATACATTTTGTAAAAATACTCAATTATTAATAAATAAATATTTTTTATATTTTGTTAAAAATATCAACAGAAAATTAACTTAACATCATATTTAAATAACAAAGTTAATAGAGTTTTATATAAACCGAAACAATAAGTTTTATAATATTTGTCAATAATTGGCTATTAAGTGTATAATATTATGGATATTATATCATCTTAATATTTATTAGTTAAATATTTTCGTCGTCTTAATGATTTTATTTCTATCACTATCAGATGTAATAATCATTATCTATCGTTAGTACCTGATTTTTGACTCTATAACAAGCAGCTACTGTAATTTTTAGTTTTAATAAATTTATTTTTCAGAAATATTCTAATTTTATTATACAATATAAATAAAAGTAAATTTATTAGAAATTCATAATGTTCTTTAAATTATAATATAATTAAAAAACATTTTTATAGATCCAATAGTTTGAATGCAGACTATCAATAATTCAGTATGAGACCAAAAAACGCTTATTCAATTGTTATCATTAAACCAAATGTGATATCAATACTGTTAAATTCTAAATTTTATTTTTAAAATTGCGATTTTATTGCTTTAAAATAGTTTAACAATTATAAATCAATAGTGCAGGTATAATAAAAAAGGTTCGAAGAAACCAAAACTTTTAGAAATTTAATAAATAATAATATTTCTTCGAGTGATTATATGATCTTAAAATCATGCGTTTAAAATTTTCTTATTTTTTTTTCTCAAGCTTATATTTTAGACTTATCATGTGTTCAATTTTTATAGGACTGTGAATTTAAAAAAATGGCTTGTTTTTATCCAGACCAGTGATTCTTAAAACGACGGTACCTATAAATAGAATCCATACGAGGTTAATCTAATCGTAATTTAAATAAGACCTGTCACCGTTATTATTAATTAGACTCATTTAAAGTTAAACGAAAATTTAATTTTTACTTCCTATTTTGGTTTGAACTATCGTCTATAATGTACACTTGATATACACACATCATTAACTTAATGTTTAATACGTATTCTAATAATTTGTTTTCAATTAGTAAAATATACTAGAGTGTCATTACGTACGAATAATTTCAAGACATATTGTTAGTACTTGTATCAATTGGCCTCAATCATAATTATGGTTTATATGTTTAAGTTGATTTTGTATTAATTGACATGGTAGGAGACAGGTACCTATCATGTTTTTTCTCAATAATTACTGTTATCAGTTGAACAGATTATTTGAAAGCCATAAATTATTAACTGATATTTGATTTCACTTTCTCGATTTCTGATATTGGAAACACTTGATTGGATTGGACATTAGGCTTAAAATTAATAAAATTAAAAAAAAAATAACCATATTTTTTATATAATATATATATAAATAAAAATTATTTTTCTATAATATTTAATGACGACAGTGTGAGATTAGCGCGTGAAGTCTAATTGTTGTTTTAATCTTGAAATGTCTTATGCGAACTCCTCGCGCTATTGCAAACAATCGTAATACATATGATTATTATAGCGATCGTTTAAGTACTTTCGCCATTTGATACAATTTTTTGACTTACCGGAGCGTGTAAAATCATTTCTGAAATATTTCAATTGAAATGTTTTTACTTTCGTCCGGTACGATACATTATGGCACCTAATGAAAACATCAATACGTATTTATTTTCTGAAACTGATTTTGCGGCCGTTCAGAAAGTCGTTTTCCTGTTAAACACCGTACGGTGATCAAATTCGACATAGGTCCATTCGATATTCCTCCATGTACAGTTGTATGAGTGAGTTGATTAAATATATGTTCCCACACCATCACCGTGTACACATATCATCGTCAATCACATAATAATAGTATTATTATTATCATTTGAAATTCTTTCGCTGGTCCGCAACACTGTATCTACGTGACGAGAACTAACGATTTGACACATCGTTTTCGCATCGATTCTCTATCGTCAATTATCATCTCACACACACTCACGCACAACCTCACATGCACACGGGCACTCACACTCATATATATATACGCACAAACGCACGACAATACAACTAGGTTAGACACAATGCACTTTTCTTTTCGAATTATTAACGTTTAATTTTCGTCCGAGAGTTGACAACAATGGAAACGAACGATTACCCGCGGGTGGGCGGGAGGACGATGCGAACGACTACTGTGGCGACGGCTGCTATTGGGAATAGTATATACTTGGTTATATGTATTTAAGTATATACTTACATATATATAAATATACACAATATAATATGTCTGATAATATAATAAAGGTAGGTCCGAACGGCTCTGGGAATGTTTCTAGAAGCCTCGTAAACGGGAAAAATTCGGTCGGCGACCAGCGTGAAACATAGGTTTGGTTAGGCGACCAACGTGAAAATATTAGATTATTTTTTGTGATCAATATAATTTCAAGTGTAAATAGCCGACTGTATCACCACGATGGTTATAAATATCTTATCACGGTAAATTTAATATGGTCCATAATTTATTATTCATGCATCAAATGATCAATGTTTGATCTAATCAATAGATTCAAGGGTGTGTATTATAATACTTGCACGAATGTGCAATACTAAAATACATTAGGATAATATTTTTAAACGATTTTTTTTTATTTTATTTTTTTTTTAAAACACAAATTCATTTTAATACTAAAACCCACTATTCAAGTTCAGAAAGATATTGTTTACTCAAATGATCGGTATTCGAACGTTTTTACAATGAAATTTAATCACTAAGTTTAAATTTAAACATATAAAATATAGTTATTTATGCAGATATAGTATAGTGTAGATGCCTGCACTTTTCATACATAAATACAATTAAAACGTTGTAGTGAGTTTTGTCAAATAATAGGTACCTATTACCTAGTACTTACCTAGTAGAATATTTTAAGTAAAATAATTGTTAATAGTTTTATTTTTATTATTATCATGACTATGTTTTTTTTGGACCATTATTACAGGACGGGGTAAGAACAAAAACATGGGACCCATGATGGCAGCTATGATGATGAAAATGGGTATGCTTAAGGTCATTGCGTTTAAAGTACTTGCCTTGCTCGTTGGCAAAGCTTTATTGGTCAGCAAGCTCGCCTTTTTGTTAGCCACTGTCATCGGGCTGAAAAAATTGTTCAGCCAACAGAAACACGTTACATACGAAGTGGTAGCCCATCCGCACCACGAATCCCATGGCAGTGACTCTTACAGCTCGGCCGGATGGGGACGTTCGTCGTCAGAAGCAGCGCACAACATGGCTTACTCCGGACAAGGCCAGTAGACACAACCTCGTTATTATTAGGTAAGTTGTTGACTAAATAATAGATCCGTTAATTTTATAATTGATTTTATGAAGACGTGTTTGCGTACATGATTTATACAACTGTTCTTAAGATCAAAAATTAAAAATTGATATAATTCTATATCAAATCATATGCATAATTATCCGAGAGCCATTAAATATTGGGAAAACATTTTAAACATTTATGTATGTACAATGCACATATATCAATTTTATATATCATTTAACATTTTTACCATTCATCATTTTATGGTAAATTCATCAAATATTAAAAAAAAGTCAAACAAGAACAATATTTTATAAATGTTATTTGATCAAATTTTTAAGCTTATTAATTACGAACAAAAATTATGATAACAGAGTACAGAACACGTTCCGGTATATAGACTCGGACACGTGGTTAATAGAGCTTAAACTAAGTACATTATAATTTGTTTTTTATGTTTTTGTGTCCACAGATATAGGTAACTGCATAAGACATCACACGATGAACTCAAGTCCTGTACTTTAATGTAGGATACCTATCCAAACGTTTAGACAAAAGCACAGCACTTGATCGTTCGCACATCCGACGTTCAATGTAATATCTGAACTCCATTAATTTATTTAAACAAAAACAAAAAAATCATGTTATTTATTATTTATATTTATTTATTGTGTTAAATTTAAGTTTGTTTGTATCTAATATTATTTATTAAATATTTTTTATATATTTACGTTACCCACCTATTTATTACATGTCATCTGTGACCTACGGTCGTTCATATAATTTATCCAACATACTTAATAAGTAATAATCTGATGTAAAATATTCAACATTAGTCGTATGCAGCAGTGTAGACGATTAAAGTTATTTATTATTCGGATAGATAATTAAATTAGAGGTTTCATTAGTTTGTTATTTTAGTGAATTATATCTAATTTTTGTTAAAGTCTACCCCGTCTTTAAACAAAGTCAATGGCTCGTGAACTACACAATATATTAATATGTATATTTAATAATATGTTTAACTATAATAATTAATATTATTTCATTTTAACATAATATCATTCAATTAAATAATTTACTGTAGTCTGTAGTGTGAGTTATGTATAGTTTTTTTATAAATATAGCGAAACACAAGGTATGCACAATATTTACAAACAGTTTTTGAATGCACTGAATCATCTAGTTTGCATATAAATGGAACATAAAAACCATGTATTAATATTTCAAAGCTGTAATAAAAGAAAGACAATTTGATAAAAACGACAATAATTTATTATGTGTTTTTCTTTCTTTTTTTTTTTTTTTTGAGCAAAACAGAGTCGACATATCATGTTATTAACATGTTGACCACATATTAAAATGTTCATAAATGAACAAATAAATAAATAATTAAATAAATAAATAAATAAATAATTAAATTAATTAAACTACGTTTGAAGTTTGAATACGAGTAAATAAATTAAAAATTAGCTATGCATACGATGAAAAAATATGCAATATGTATGTACAACTCGTTCTACTACTTAAATCGCCGCCGACAGTTCATTAAACGTCAATGCACCATTATTGCTGTGAACTCGATTTTACGGTCTTACAAAGTTGGGTCGATAAACACAAAGACTAATGTGTGTGTGTGTGTGTGTTAGGATGAATTTTCTGAGGGGCGTGGATTTTGGTTTTTTAATCGTGATTGAGACACTCGAATGTGGTGGAACACAACACGTGCTGTACCCTAGTTGAGTATTTTTTTAAAAATAAGAACTGGCCACATCACGTTGTACGATCGTCGGCGGCTTCGGTTTCGTCCTATTTTTTCGTTCTGCCCACGGATTTGGCTATGTTATCCGACTGATTGCGGTTGGCCGTCGGCCTGTACGTGACCGGACTCACGTGCGAATAATGCGCCTGCATATCCACGCCGTTACCGCCACCGCCGCCACCACCGCCAAAGTCGCCGAAGGACGAGTACTGTTGGTGTTGCGGCGGCGGTCCGTACTGTTCGACAGGTTGTTGTTGCTGTTGCTGTGGCTCCTGGTGCGGTTCATAAGATGACTGGCTGGAGTCCGGGTAATGAGACATCATGTGCGACATCTGTGGGGGGTGCTCGTCAAAATGCGAAGGCGCCGACACCCATTTGACTTGCACTGACTTCTTGGCCGGCGCCTGTTTCATTTCCATCAGCTTGCACACCAACAAGTAAGCGCCGATTATCAGTCCAAGCTTGGTGGCGAAAAACGCGTGTATGATGAACAGCTTGATCGCAGCTGCGGCTTTCATCATAATCATGCTGGCGGCCGCCGTACCGGCCATCATCATGGCCATTTTCGCCGGTTTGGTCTTTTTGCCCCGACCTACAGCACGTAACAAACGAGCCAAGTATTAAAATTCACATAGTACAATAATTTTAAGACGGAACGCCACCGCTACAAAGAGTCACTAGTATTCACTCTAATTATTTTTGTGTCGTTATTTATTCGTTTTATCAATTAAGAATTAAGCGTATATTATTCAGATTTTATAACATAACTGAAGGTAGCATAATAAAAAAATATGTTGAAAAAACAAAATAACATCACGTGAGTACGTCGAATATAATTTTTAAGTTATACGTAAGTTCGTATTTTAAAGTCTGGAGATTTTGCACCCATTTTAATGCATAGATTATGTTGTTTAATGTTTTTTATTCTGATCCTGATTAGTGCCACTTTTGTGACATTTTTAAATGTCTAGGTTCTTTAATGGTTCGAAAAAAATTATTCTATAGTTAACCTAACCTAACCTTAGTTATAACTCCTTTTTTATGTATATTGATAAGCAGAATTTTTTTTTAATAATAATAAATTTAATTTTAAATTTTTAGAGTATTTCTTTTTTATGTATTAAAGATAATTTTAATACCTGCAGAGTGTTGCATATTTGATTATAATATTATATTTTGTATGGATAAATTAAAATAACTTACACAAAAACTTAGTGTAATTAAAGGTACTTAACAAGAAAAATAAAATAATTTAAAAAAAAAAAACTTGTGCCGGTCAGGAAACATTTTGAATATCATAAATAAATAAAAAAATTGTTTTTTTTTTGTTTAACAATTAACTTGAAAACTTTAAAATATCAATATTTAACCTAAAAGAACTTTAGACACGGAAATAGGCGTACTTTATTATTCGTAGTAAAAATTTTAATCGATAATTTAACTAATTACGAATACATTTGAAGGTATCTAAGATGTTAAAATGTGTGAAAATAAATAATAAAATTGTTTTTGATAGTAACAACTTTAAGTTAGAGATAAATAATGAGATAAAAATTAACAACATTTACAAAAAGTTTAAACTAAATAAAAATATGTAAATTTTTGAGACAGAGAATTAGTTAATACGAGGCCTAAATAAACTGTTGAATTTTGTCATTAATATTTTTTAAATAAGTTAGTAAATAAAATTCAATTTAAAATAAATTTTGGTTATAACGCTTTAATTTAATCTGCTTTTGAACTACATTTATAGAAACGTTTTCGTTTCACTTATATTTTTAATTACAGAAGTTTCATTTAGTACTCGTAATTAGTATCATATCATTATAAAGGAAACTACACGTGTAATGATATACATATATGCAATTAAAAATTCGAATAAAATATAATTGATTTATATGTGGTACTCATCACGCTTTGCTCACATCAGTAAACACAACTAGATGCGGCGCTGTTATTTTTACTATGAAAAAAGAAAATGCCTATTATTTAAAAAAAATGTTTTTGACTTTTTAACTTTTTATTGAAGTTTATGAGTTCAAATCATCTACATTTTATTTTTATATATACTTAGCAAAAGATATTTACAGTAAAATTCATTTCCAGAAAATATATTTATGTTCAATCGCTGTAAAGACGGAACAATATCATTCTACAGTGAATCCATCTATATTGGTTTTCCGTGTTTTTATTAATTTCGAAAGCACGTAAAAAATGAATTATGTTTATATTAAAATGTATGGAGTAAATAGTTAGATTATTCTACAGATACGATCAATTCAAATAGGTATTTGAAGTTTTTACGTCTAAGAATTAAATTAATATTTATTCAGTTTTCAAAAAAATAAAATATTTTTTATTTAACTAAAACTTGTATTACTACGCAGAAAAAAAGATGTGAGATGAATACTGAATTAAGCAAGTATCACTAATTTTCTGTTTTTTTCCCACTTTCTCGACGATTGCTGAGAATTTTCAAAACAATGACCTCTATCGTTAAGTATGCGTTCGTGACTCGTCTACTTTCCAATATATTTACGAGACACCAAGGAGCATTTTTATTTCCTTGAATTGTGCTTTTTGAAACAATAACACAATATTACAAATCAAATAGTCAACTATAGCCTTCCTTGATCAGAATCTAAAATCTACTTGTATACTCATACTCATAGTATATTATATTTTAATATATTCTATAATTTAAGTCCATAAACCTTAAAAATCAGGGTTAAAAAAATATACAAGTATATGTAGGTTTAATATTATATAAATATAAGCACGCGAATGATATTTTAAATTTTAAAACTTTTACGTACATAATAAATTTTAAAGTTCAGAAAAGCACATGAAATACATTAATATACTTTTTATTGATTAAAATGGTTATTTGTTACTTTATTTCCCTCATTATTTTATGCTATTATACCATTGGTATATAGTTTTATTTTTCATCTTTAATCATAATACCTAATAATAAATATTCAATTATTTTATACTCAGATAATATATCATAGCTGAACTTGGTTAACTCGAAGTTAAAGGAACCGGAAAAAAGTTCGAATTATCCAAATTGAAAATTTTTAAAACAGTACAAAATATATTAACTCCTAGATATTTATTATGAATAAAGTCATGTAATAAAAAAATATTTACGGTGTATTTATATATGAATTATGTATATGTAATTTTAAAGAGGTATGTATCTATGTACCTATAAATAAAAATGAGGTTAAAAAATTATTTCAAAAAAGTATTTATTTTTGTTTGAGTTTTGCTGTTGATCACAGCGTTTGTAATAAATTGTTTTAAACCATTTATCGGTATTAAAATATAAACATAGGTACATGAAGGAAATATCACAATTGTATAATATTAATAAAACTCAAAACTTCGAGTTATCTACGAAAATATTCGAGTTAAACAAGATTTTTTTACATTTCAGTTTAATAGGGAATTCTAGAGACCGGAGTAAAAGTTCGAGGCATCGATGATTTCGAGTTAAAGAAGTTCGAAATTTTACCTGATATGATTTATAGACAAATTATAATATCTAACTAAATAAAAAATTAAAATACATCATATATCTAATATTCACAAGATTACGGACTATCGTGAAGTAAATTTAATAGTAGTCCTTTCTTTACGGCAATTAAGCATAACTATATTTTCCGGAAATAAGTTTTATAAAAAAAGTCTTTTGCTAAGTATTTATATAAATAAAATGTAGATGATTTGAACTCGTAAATAACAAAAACGGTGTAACTTTATTCATATAACATTGATTCTCGTAGTATATAACTATCTAAATTTGTGATACCCAACACCTAGTTAAACGCGAAAATGTTTCCCATCGAACTGCAAAGTTGGCCGATGTTACATGACTTGTGCAACAAAGTTTCCGATATTTCGTCGGACGTATAACAAATATAGGTAATGTTTTCAGTTCAGTTCGATTAAACAGGTCGGACGTGCGTGTCTGCGGATTGTGTTTTACCTTCAACCGGATCATCACCGTTGTTTCCGGTGATCAAAGCGCCCAACAAGTCAAATGGTGTGCTAGACGACATCAGCAATCTTTGGCCTTCAATCACCCGTGAAATTTCAGCTAGGCTGAGTTCTTCAGCAGTGTCGGCGGATACGACTTGACCGGCCGCAGGAAAGACGTCAGCGGCGGTGGAGGCACTCGACAACCACAGCACGGCTGTGGTAGTGCAGACGACGAGCGGATTGAATGTCATCGTGATTGACTTTTTTATTTTTATTATATCAAATTTTGGTAGGTACGGTGAGGAGAACTGCAAACACTACTGCGGAAGATCGACAGGATTCGTGACGATCGTATAAATCGCGAGCGGACGACTTAGAGCCAAAGTACACGTGTTAGCAATGGTGTCGAAGGACCGCGAGCTCGGTACTTTTATGCGCGTTCCGGGCCATGAACGTTGCCCACAAACGCCGTTGACCGTGCAATGCCGAGCTTGCATTTCCCGAAATGCGGTGGGATATAAAATAATATCATTATTATATTATTATACGACACGATATAATTAACAATGCCTGTCTGTGTATAGGATGATTCAAAAATATTTATCAGATTCAAAAAATTCACATTAATTTTTAAAAATAACATAGTATAGGAAAATATAAAGTACAATTTAATTGTAAAAAAATTTAATTTTAATTAAGTGTAGGTACTACAAAATATTATGTCTAATATGAACCAACAGGCCAATTGGCACACTTTCATATGCTAACTATTCAAAAAACAGATCATTTTATTAAATTAATTAATTTTTAATTAATTTTTTTTTTTTTTTAATTTTTTTATTCGTCCATTTTGACATTAACTGACATAATTTTGTTAATCTTTACAAATCCTCATAAGATCCGTTTACCGGTAACGAAAATAAAAAATAAAAACTTTACAAAAATAAACTCGACTGTCTCATCTTTACAATGGTATTACAAAATATAGTATTTTACTTGCAATTTACAGTTGCTAAGCAATACGTATACAATAACAATTGGATAGAGACATTTGAATCATCCTGTAAATTATATACATCGGTATAATTGAACGAATTTTGATGAATCTAGTATATATATTCATATAAATTATGATATGACTGTAGTGTGTGTGAGTTCAGTGTCTTACTATTTTCTCTCGCCACTGCTGCCGGCAATTACAGTGCGCTTTTAGCGTGTCTAATATAACATATTACTTTATTTCTTTTTTACACAGCTGCTGCTACCAGTTTATCCAACAATTTATCCACAAGAAATTATATTATGCGTGATATAAGTACTACTTGCCTATAAACAAAATATCGTCATCTGTGTTATCGAGGAATCTGTCAAGCATGTCTCAAAAGATTATCCAGGATAAATTTGAAGACATGATATCCACGCCACTTTTCTACTTCACTAATTTCTGTGATATTTAAGGAAATTTCATCCATTTTTTAATAACTTTAAAATTTTAGATTCTGAGTAGTTATAGGGGAAATAGTAATTTTTCAAGAAGAATATTTAATTTTTTTTTTTTCGTAAACAACATTTTAACCAGAATATTTGATTTAATCGGTACATGTACACTAATTTCGGCCATTTTCCAGTAGAATATTGTATGTTATTATAAGTTTTGAGTGATATTTGTTGAGTTTTCAATATTTTTGATTAACACGTAAGGAAAAACTATTAACAAATTACAGGGAAACGAAATTCTTCTAATTTGAGTTTTTTTCAGTAATTTTAAAAATAAAAGATCTTTGTTTCTAAAATGTACACCAAGAATTTATAATTTAAAATGTAGCTACCATATTATAAGTAATGTGTAAAATATTGTTTTGGAACGTTAGGTTGTTAATAAATTATTGTAATTTAAAAATAATTGATCATATTAATTCTTACGCTCGCTTTTATAACGAAATATTTAGCATATTGAATAAATGTATGATTATGTTCCACTTTATAGAGTGCAATTGATAGTAATTTATTATTCATATCAAAAACTATTTGATATCCATTACTGCAGTATCTTTAGAAATACGAGATTAGCTCTAAACTAGGCACAACACAGAAAATTTTCTAATTTTTTGTAAAAACTAATATTGTAGGTACCTACTCATTAGTATTCCACGATATTTGATTCAACGTGAAGTGATTTATTTGTAGCTGGTTACTTACTATCGTCATGCAACGGCTGCAAACGAGTTGTGTCTCAAATACTAAATTGTGTCCCTCAGTTTTTTTTTTTGAAGTACACGAATTGTGTTCTTAAAGTTTGATCAAACTTATATAAATAAAAATTAAAAATAACTACACAAATAATTTTAATAATATAACATAAAAAGCAAACACTTAAATCAAACAATTTTTATAAATTCACATCGAGAAATTTTTCTATTGAAATATTAAAAGTATGTTAAATATTATATTTTATACGAAAAATAAGAATTTCGTATAAAAAACGTCATTTTATTATAGTAAAAATTTTAATGTAATATAACAATAATTGATGTTATTTTGCCTAATAAATATAAATAAAAAGTAAAAATAACTACATTAACAGTTTTAATAAAATTACATATTAGACAAAAATTTGAATGGATAGAATCGAATTTTATTCTGTAACTATCTTTTAAAATATATGTTGGTAATTATACAACATTGAAATGAAAAAAAATTCTCGATTTGAATTTATAAAAACTTTTTTTCATTTAACTTGTGTAAAACTTCATAAAACAGTTTGGACACAATTCGTGTACCCCACTTTTATCATCGGGACACAACTCGTGTACGATAAATTTAGTCGGGACACAACTCGTTAACTACGCATGCAACTGACCAAAACTTGGATACGAATATTTTGGTTTTGGTTTAGATACCAATAACGACTAATATTTTGTTTTCTTGTATCATCATTTTACAATTTAAATGTTAGATGCAGCCTGCTATTCAAAAGTTAGCAGGTTCCGTGCTTAATCTGTTACGACGCTCATTAAACACTTTATTAGGAATATACAATAAATTAATTATCAAAGTTGAACAGGTTGAATGCACCAATAATATAATAATATGATTTATTACATTACTAATATAGCGTAAAAAATGTATTATTTTGATTCAATTTTAGTATATTTGAAAAATGCATTCGACTTAATATTTAAGTCTGTAAATTAATTTTGATAGTTTAACAATTATTATTGACTATTGTACAATAAGCTAGTTTTTTCAATTAAATTCTGTTTATACTATATAGTATTAACAAAATATTTTTATAGTACAAAAATATGTTTTTAATTCATAATATATTTAAAAATTATATTTTCTAATAGTATTAGTACTTCTATTAAAAACAATGAATACAACGAGTCCTTTTTTTTTTTCGTTTTTACTACAAAAATAATGAACACTTTTTTGGTACTACCCTGATATACTCGCTTGATTTGATTTTGATTATATATAATTATTATACGTACATTACTTCTCTGTCTTTTTCTCAGTTAGTAATACATTTTTGTTCTAAAACATTTTTGAAATACAAATTATTTTATTACTTTGTTAGATAATAACAATAATTATCACTATACCAGATTTACAGTATTGATTTTTCTTATCCTAACTAAAAAAATTAAAAAAAACACAAATATTTATTTCTGTGCTCCTTAAAAATCCTTAATATCTAGTTAAAATAAATTTGTGTAAATATTTTTAAAAAACAGGTTATTATAGTATAATTTCCAACATTTTAGCATCGTGTTTAACAAAAAGCAATATAGAGAGTTTAATTATAGATGCATATATAATACGAGATAAATACGGTGAAAAACTTAACATAAGATATATTGTATCAGTCAATAAGGTAATGTTATTACTAGTAAGTAGTAGGTACAATAGGTACATACACTGTACGTACTAGTATACATGATATATATATAGTTTAATGCCAACACTATTACTTAAAGTGTTAATTTTTATCTCTAGACACGCTCTATATACATTAGTGATTAGTGTTTCTCGGCTGTAGGCGCATCATAGATGACTGCCGCTGATTTTCTCATATATACGTAAAAGACAAAGAAAAGAACCGAAGTCATCGCAGAATCGCTAGATGCAGTTCTAATAATCACACTTAAGCTTGAGCTAGACTGCTGCTGTATTTATTTATTATCCTTATGAACTATAAAATGTTATGATTTATTGCTCATTTGTTGGGTCACTATTTTTTATTTAAACATAATATTAGCCACGGATGAAGATGAAAACAACATGTAACAAAATAGTGTTAAAATTTAATATATCACATACAATAAAATTTTGATCATCATATTAAGGTCGATTACATTAATGATGTTCAAGAAAATTATCAAACAGTCTAAACTCGCTTGGTAAAAATTATAACTAGGTATTTTATTAGATATTTGTTTGATGTTTAAAAATGTGTTAAAAATTATGCCGTTTATGACTTTGGCTGAAGTCGTTAAGATTTACTTTTGTATAATTTGTATTAAACGTACTCAATTATTTTTGAAATAACAATATCGTAGAAATTCTGTATATTTATGAAACATAATATTAATTGTGAAACGGATTTGGATCAAATCTGATTCATGAAGACTTAAAAATTATTTTTTGTATATAGGTACACGTACATTAGTTAATAATGAGTAACAAGGTCATGCATGTAGCTATTTAGAACACTAACTATTAACTAATTTGTAATTCTATTTTATTACTTATATAGTTTTATCCTAACGATCTCAGAAAATAATGTTAATGGTAATTTATTTCCTTAAAATATATGTTATAATTAAGACACGGATGGATTGGACCGACAATTATATTATATTGGTGTTGATCCTGAAAAATATTTATATTTTATAATTTTAATTTAATGGATTAAGATTTGTCAAACTTAAATTATATTTTATCAAGTTTGTTGTATTATCATTTATCAGTTACTATCGTCTTACTTTTTTTTAATTTAACTTTTGTTAAAATATAATATCCATAAGCCATAGAAAGTCTATTTTATATTTTTATGACCGTAAAATATCTGAAAATATATAAATTTGCGATAAATTTTTCATTTTGATTTATTTTTATACTCTAAATCTTTTTTTTTTTTTTGTAATAAAATTATTTTTTATTTTAAATAATTCTTTTATAACAATTATGTAATATTAATTTAAGAAAATAGGTATTACGGTATTATATTATTATACTATTAAGATTGATAAATAGTAAATCAATAATTTTTATCTATAAAGATAATATTATCTAAAATTTTTAATTATTAAAAAAAAAATTACTTAAACATAAATAAAATAATAATATTAATAATTTTATTTTGTTCACCGGTATTTCTATATTTATGTATAAAAATAAAGTAAATAAA